ATCATGTTTGAAGATCCATTTAAAGCATATGATCATCTAAATAGATGTAGAAAAAGCATTCAGTAAAGGTTGGCATCAATCCATGATAAAACTCTTAGCAAACTAGGAATGAAAGGAATATAAGATACTCTACAAAAAAAAAATAATAATAATACAGCAACTTCCTGTTCCACGGTGAAATGTTGAAGGCTTTCCTTCTGAGAGCAGGAACCAAGCAAGGACGGCTGTCACCAGCCATCACTCTTCAGCATGGGAGGTCCTTTCTAGAGCACTTAACCAGAAAAAGAAATGAAAGGCATACAAATTGGAAAGGAAGAGGCAAAACTCATTATTTGCATATGCTGTACTTGCCTCTTTGGAACTGAAAAGGGTCTACAGATGATAAGAGAGTTTATTTAGCACATTGGCTAGATTCAAAATCGATGCATGGAAATAAAGATGCCATTTACACTAGGAAAAATTACAAAGTTTCTAAAAGAAATAATAAATCTAACAAAAGTTGTGAAGTTCTTTATGCAGAAAATTAATATGTGTGATATGGGCTTGGCACATTGTAACATGTCATTAAATGTGCGTACCTGTTTTCCCTTGCTTCATACCTGAGGTGTTTGCATTTTCATCCTAAAGAAATGCCAGCAGATTTTTCAGAATAATTTCTGACTATCCAGTCTTCCTGACCTAGTGCTACTTTAAAGATGAATATCTGCATAATGCATTTGCCAAACACTGTCGCACTCATTATCTTTTTCCCAAGAGTTCGGAGAAATGGATAATAAAAATCTCATTTACATTGGAGGAAAGTGGCCTGCAGGATATAATAAGTTTGGAGTCAGGTTTGGGTCCCAGGTCTGGGTTGTTTCCGAGGCACCTGCCCTGCACCTGCTGACCATTCCCTGAGTAACTGCAGGGGTCTTCATTGAGCCTTGTGCCAAAGCAAGGGGCATAGGTAGTGATGTGCACGAAGGACACAAAGCTTGCCTTTGGGGAGCTCCTGTCTATTGGAGAATCCAGATGACCGCACAACTGGATGATGCTACATTACATATGATACCAAGCTCAGACCAGAGGAGCAAGGGGGCTTTCTGGAGGAAGGGGCATTTAATTCCAAGATTGAAGGATGAATTATCCAGGTAAAGAAATCAGGAGTGAGGGCAAGGTAGAAAAGAGACAGAAAGGTATCCAGGCCAAGGAGACAGTATGTGCCAGGACTTGGAGGAGAGGGAGAATGGCCCGCCATGGGACAGACAGACGTTTGGTTGGGCCAGAGTCTAAGGTGTCCGGCGGAAAGGGGTGAGAAATGAGGCACTCAGGAGCCAGCCTTTGCAGAGCCCCGTACACCAGGGTCCTGAGAGCAAGGAGCAGCTGCCCAAGGGTAGGCAAGGGTGTGCAAAGCTGGTTCCGTGCTTTAGAAAACAGACTGCCCCCTATGCAGGGCGTGACACAGGAGGAGGCGCTGAAGTCAACAAGCTGGTTTGGGTCAGAGGAGACCCTTGTAGGTACCTGGAGGATTCACTTTATGCCCATGTGGAGCACTCATGACCTCAGGATCCCACTCTCAGTATCCATCAGGACGCTAGGCAGCAGCCACAGACCCCAGCCCAGCAGCTGAAGCTTTAGAATGGAGAAGAGTAGCTCCAGGGCTGGGGAGGAGGCTCGAGAGCTCTTGGGACAGGAGAACAGCCAGAATCAGGGTCTCCATGGCCTAACACTCTCCTCTATGCCCATCTTTCATCTCTGCTTATCTCTACCTCTTCCTGCGAAGTGACCTCAGTTTCCTCCACTGTACCCAGGGCAAGCCCCCTGAGAACAGAGAGGTGGCCCCAGGCAGCTCTTTCCAACCCCATGATCCCAAAGGCAATAGGAAGCTTCCCCCAGTACCTCCAGGAGAATATTCCAGGGAGGAGGCCAAATGACTTGTGGTGGGCATTCTGTCCAAGTAGCTACATAGCCAAGCAATCTTACTCTTTTACAAGAGCAAACTGCAGGAGTTGTCTGTGTCGCCAGGAGCTGTCCAAGAACTTGGCCACAGACAGTGGACTATTAGATCAAGGACAGATCCTTCCCATTTTGCCTCATGCTGCAGCAAACAGCCACCTGGGACCCAGACCCTCTTCAGTCCCCCGTGACTTCAGACAAGACCTGGCCAGGCAGACTGTTCAGCTCAGCAATTCCCTGTCTAGGTATCGCTACTAGAAAAAAGCCCCCATGTGCACCCAGTGGAGCATGCACAAGGATGTTTGCTGTTGTACAAGAACGTTTATATAGAGAACGAAATGAACGACTTGAACACTCATCAGTAGGGAAATGAGGAATGGTCAAAGAAAAGAGGGAGGAAGGGAGAGAGAGGGAAAGGGAAATAAAGAGGGGAAGGAGAAGGAAGGAGGGAGACACATCTAAGCCTTTGAATGTGACACGTGGCTTCATTAAAATGAATGCGGTCCCCCTGCATGTACTGACATAGAAAGATGTCTAGCATATTGTTAAGTGATTCAAAAGCCAGATGCAAAAATGCATATGAAACCTTTTATTTGTTTAAAAACACACAGAGCAAGACATATATAGCTAAGCATGCATATAAATGCATACATAAATACACACAAGTGCGTGTATAAATGCGGAGATAAAGGTCTGTAAGGGCAACATACCTCACTGATAACAGTTGTTACTGTGAGGGAGGGTGAAATTTGGAGACAAGTTGTTGGGGAGGGTAGCAGAGAGGTATGTTTTCTTGCTTGAGTATATAACAATAAAAGTGTGTGCATATAGCACTTGTATAATTAAAATTAATTTAATATGAATGAGGGAAAATAAAATGGCAGGTAATGTTGCTTGTAATAGGAAAAAGCCCCCTAAAATACTAAATACAAATACATCTAGAGGAAATAGACTAAAACAAATGAGGGTGTTCATTGCAACAGAACTCCAAGCAACCATTGAAAGATGGAGCAGATTTACATGGAGCAATATTCCCAAACAAAAAGCAAAGTATAAATTAGTGTGCATGAAATATTCCTATTTTGTATAAGAAAGAAAATTTAGAAGATGCATAGAAAAATACAAGCCATGGTAGAAAGAGTGGACTGTGGAATCATGCAGACCTGGGTTGAGGTCGCTCAGAATTACCAAGAGAACCGTGATGGTCACTCCATGCCCTCAGCCTCAGTTTACCCATCCTTAAAATAGGAATAGCAAGTGTCTACCTCATGGGGTTGGTGTGAGGGTTAATTGAGCTCAAAGGCTTATCACAGAGGACACAAGACAAGAAGATTATTATTGTTAATTATTATTATCTCCAGAGTTTAATCTGAGAAGTGAGTTTGGGACTAAGGAAAGGGAACAGGGCACGTTTACATTTTTTGAATATTTAACAGTGAGACTGTGTTACTCTCTGCTATGGACTGAATTGTGTCCCCTCCAAAATTCACATGTTGAAGCCCTAACCCCCAGTGTGATGGTATTTGGAGGTGGGGCCTTTGGGAGATAGTTAGGTTTAGGTGAGGTCATAAGAGTGGACTTCATGGTGGCATTAGTGCCCATAGAGGGGACACCAGAAAGCCCTCTCTCAAGCTCTCTCTGCCCCCGCCCCACCCTGGTAGGCGGCTGTCTGCAAGAGAGGCCTCATGGAACTTGACCATGTTGGCACCCAGATCTTGGACTTGCAACCTCCAGAATTGTGAGAAATAAATCTCTCTTAAGCCATCCAGTCTATGGTATTTCGTGATGGCAGCCTGAGCAGACTAAGACATTCTTAAATTTAAAAAAAAAAAACTAATAAAGATTAAAAGAGGAAAAACAACCATGGCCCAGCAGCTGCCTGACATGTGGTCTGTTCAGATGGGCTACACGTCCTGGCACTGCCCTGGCGGGAGGCTGCCGGACCAAGTGCTCTGGTCACCACTGGTATGGCTGGTGGTGAGTGTTCCCAGCCACGTCTACCCTAATCTCGGGAAAATCACAACAGTGATTACAGAGGAGGGCTGGGGACTGAGCCAGGCCCTCAGACCACAGCGAGACAGGCAAAGATGGTCCCTCCCCACTGGGGCTTGAGAGCCGCAGGACAGACAGGAGGTTGGTGACAAGTGTTCTCCTGTCACCTGTCTGCGTGCTATGATTTAATATAGTTTTGACATTTCCCCAGCCGAGTGGCAGCCGGGGCTCCAGCCGAATAAAATTGGATGGATAAAAGCTGGGGCAAAGGGCACAGAGACCTTGCCTCCTTGTCATTTTGCCACCAGCTCTGCCAGAGACAGGCCGGCACGCTAAGCTGCTGAAGTCAATAACAAGATGGATCAGGGCTGGAGGAAAAAAAGAGGGATTGAGAATCTCATGAAATTGTTCCTTTCCAGAGAGTCACGTAGATCTGCTGCTGTCTCTTTAGGATAAGGGGCATCGGGGAGGCTCCATCCAGCTGTGCAGAGGGTCCCAGCTGTGCAGGGACCCCAGGCTGCTGGCAGTGGAGTCTGGGGGCTCCAGTCCCAGGCACTGAGTAGCTACCATGTGCCAGACCAGGGAGGGCCCCAGGGACACCAGTGAACAAGACAGGTGAGGCCCTGTCCCCATGGACAGTCATCCCCATAGTAATAATAATAGTAATAGTAAATAACAGTCCTTCGTGCCACTATATGCCCGACCCTCACAACCACCCTATGAAGCAGGATTATGCATCAATTTTACAGAAAAGGAAACTGAGGCTCAAGAAGGAAAAGTCACCCACTGTGACACAATCTGTGGAAAGGCAGACTTAGGACCTGAACGTGGGTCTGTCTGTGCTGAGTTTACACACTGACCCACTGGTGTGGCACCTGAGCACCCACTGCAGAACACTCTAGAAGAGAGCCTGTGCCCAGGGTCTCATGGGAATAAGGGAAATCCCTCACACACATCCTGATGGGCTGGATGAAGCTTAATGCTAATGTTTAAACCTGGTGCCATGCCCAGCCCTCCTCCCCCTCGCCCCATGTAGCCACCCAAACACATCGACTTTTTCAGTCACGCTTTACCTGTTTATGCATCCGTCTTCCTGATTCACTGCAGGCTCCAGGGCTCCTCGAGGGAGCACCCAGAATGGGCCTGGGGCAAGTAGGGCAGTATGGCGCATGATTCTGCACCTGGCCCTGAGTCAGACGGGCTGTGCTTTGCTCTAAATGTGGCCTGGGGCAGGTGACTTTGCTTCCATGTTCTAGGTTCCCTCAGCTCCTGTAAAACAATGACAGCATCGTCACCCCCTGGAAGGGTTGTTGTGCAGATCAAATTAAGACAACAGGTGGAATACAAAACAGGGCCCAGCACGTACTATGCGTGCAATAAATATTCATTTTTATGGTGATAATGATGATATTTATAACAACTACTTAAATACAATGCAAAAGCAGAGATTGCTACTTCCTTCTGTTCTGAGACTGATGTTCTCTGTCTTCCTTCCTCCCTCGGTCCTCCCTCCCCCCCCCCACAGTGGGCGCCGTCCACGGCCCCCGCGGTGCTCTCGGCCCGGATTACAGCGGTGGGGCAGGCGGCTCCCCCCTCCCGGGACTGATTTCCCCGTGGGAAGCGCGCCGAACATCAAGGAACCAGACAAATGAATTAAACCATCACAGGCCTGACAAGGAAAACAAAACAAAATAGGATGTTGTAAAAGAGAATAATGAGCTTCTCAGAAAGATCTTTCTACTCTGCATGTGAACGGGAACAAAACAAAACGACACCCGCCCAGCATGGAGCGGAGCTCGCCGGCCGTTCTCTGTGCGCTCCTGCCCGGGCCCAGCAGCCCGGCCCGCTTCACCGCAGGGCGCCTGGACCCTCACGCGTGCCTCCTGCCTCGCACCTGCCGGTCCAGGGCCCAGTCCCGGCAGCCCCCTCTTTGGGCACGCCCCCCGCCACAGCTGACTGGCTCTGGGGGTGCCATGTGACCCAAGCGGACCAATCAGATTTGGGGTTGGCCGAGTGCCTCTGGCCAGTGCCCCCTGCGGCTAGGAGCAGACAGAGAGAGGGCCCCAGGGATGGCAATGGGATGAGATGGGCAAGGAGGGGGCCCAGCTCCTCCCTGCCCTGGGGGCCTCCGCCCCCTCCTCCCCCGGGGTTTGGGCCCCTCCCCACCAAAGACCCTGACTCCCCTCCCTGTGCCACCTCCGTGGCCACGGCTCAGGGAGAGGCTTCCCGCCCCCACAGGCGCTGCCCGCACTGTCCCAGGGGCTTCTTCGTCACTTGTCGGGCCTGGGCTCCGCCCTCCGGGCCCGGCTCCTGGTGGTCCTCAGTCCGGGCCCGGCTCCTGGTGGTCCTCAGTCAAGTTCGCTGAAGGAATGAGTGAATGCGTGAGTGAGTGAGCGAGCGACCAAACCTCAGAGGGCGCCCACAGTGGAAGAGCCGGGGCCGGGGGTGAATAGACCCAGGCTGGATTCCGGCTCTGCTGCCTCCTGGCCCCAAGGTCTAGGCCTGAACTTCAGCCCCCTGAACCCCCACCTCCTCACCTGCAGCGTGGGACACGGCTGGGGCTTGGCAGGAGCCACCCAGTCAATGCCAGCTTACAGTGGGAGTTGTGGCTCAGTTTTCTTTTTCAAATCCGGTCCTTCTTCTCTCTGAGTATCCCGAAATGCCATGTTCCCAGAGTCCCCCCACGACCCCCACTGCTGGGTGAGGACACTCCGCACCTGCACAGCCACTGGAGGCCAGGGCCTGGCTGGCCACCAACATGCACCTGCTGCCAGGAGGGGGGGCGGGGACGGAGGGGACACCCCAGCCCCATCTGGAGCACCCCTGGGCTCTGTTCTCCCCCAGGAGACCCAGGTCTCCCCTGTTTTTGCCTCCAGGCCTGTCCTGTCAGCATCTGCCCGGGGAGTGTCGCCATGGAGATGGGAAGTGATGGTCGGTGAGGGGCTGGGCAGCCACGCAGCTCCTGATTCTCTGAAATGAGACTGCAGAGGCCACGCTCTGGGGAGGGAGGAGGAGGCGCAGGAGAGAGAGGAGTCGATGAGAAGGGGTGGGGAGTGAGGAAGGTGGAGAAAGAGCATAATGGTCTTTCAGATGCAGAGAGAACCTAGCCCTTTGATTTAGTGTGCATTTTCATGTGCCTACAGCTCATCAACTTGATAGATTTGTTTTAAAATTATTGTTATTATTATTATTTTAAAATCTGAAGGGTCTAAATCTCTTTTTCTAGGGCTCAGATTTCAGCTCACACCTCACGTACCTCCCCCGGCCTCACCTGGCAGCTCTCTGGGCTGCGACTGGGGTGGGGGTGGAGCTCCCGGGACAGGTGTCCGCGGCTGGACCGAGGTGCCCTGTGCTTTGCTCTCTAACCCCCGAGGGACTGAGCACTCAGCTGGGAATGAGAAAGTGGCTGCAAGTTTACAGGCTAGGGACCTGGGGAAGTCACTCCACCTCCATGGCCCTTGTGTCCTCGTTTGTAATTAAAACGGGGAAGATACTTTCTAAGAGGATCGGGGGGAGGGCTGCAATAATGTGGGAGGACACCCAGAGCCGCATCCTTTGCAGGAGCAGTCATCCCTCCCCGACAGACAGACAAAGACAGAGCAGCCCAGAGGACCCTCTGGAATCTTTTCATGCAAAGATATAAATCAAGCCAAGCTAACTTAAACTCAAGGGGAGTGTGCTGGCTGAAGTAACTGAAAAGTCCATGTAGAGTTCCAGATCCAGACCTAGCTTCATCCACGAGTCCCCGTGGTGTCCCCAGGACCTGGCTTCTCTCTCCTCCATCTCTCTCTCTCTCTCCACCTGCTCCAAGGTCATGTTCGAGTCTCACGGAGTTGGGTCACATCCCCTGAGAACCAACCACGTGGCCATAGCAAGTGGGAAGTTCTGGTTGGTGTGGGCCTGGGTAGGCCATCCAGTCCTTGAGGACTGATGTTGGGGACAGGGAGTTCGCCCACAGGAAATCAGGTGCTTTTTACCAAAAGAAGACTGGAAGCTGCACGACCTCAGCAAGTCGGTGAATCTCTGTGTCTCATTTGCACCACGTAGGAGCCGTAGGAAACAACGGCAAACGCTGACGTGGAGCTCATGATGGTGGCAGCACCAATCTGAGCACTTTACGGGTATGAACTCATTTAATCCTCAGACCGACCTGATGAGGCCAGGTATTATTATCCCAGTTTCACAGAGGAAGCAACTGAGGCTTGGAGAGGTTGAGAGATTTGCCCTGAGGTCACACAGCAGGGCAGCAGAGGAGCCAGGACTCTGTTCCGAGTGCTGCTCTTAACCACCATGCTGCACTGTCCCCTTGGAGGGAATAAGAGCCACAGCGTTAATAACACGGGAGCCCCGGAGCTGATGGGAGAGTCAGTGCAGAGGCCCTCCCAGTGGGGCAGTTGTTCCAAGTCGGTGCTGGGGAGCTGTGGGTTCCCTCCTCTTGCTCTGTTCCCGCCCTATAGCTCCACCCCTTCGAGGTGCTCACGCGGCCCTGCCCGTGTCAGGGCTGTGATGTCTCCTGACATTTCCGTAAAACACAGGGCCCTACATCAGCCTCCCTCCCCTCCCCTTCCCCTCCCTGCTTCTCACGGCCTCTCTGAATCCACACCTGCCTGCATCAAGGGGAGACACAGGAAGACAAGGCCCAGCTCTGTGGACCGGAAGCCCAGGTGCACCTGCGGGGCTGAGGGAGTCACAGGGTCTGAGCCCAAACAGCCAGGTGCGTTTCTCCCGGTGGGCAGGTGGGCCACTGAGGGGCTCACAGCCCGTGGGGAATAGCGTGATAAGAGGGGGCGGGCTCCAGGCACCACCGTGAGGCTGTCATACAGCAAGGAGCAGCGCCGCAGCTCAGAGGGGCAGAGCCTAGAAAGGCCCTTAGAGAAGGGTCCAGGGGAGGCAGAGGCCACCAGAGCCTGGGCTGGGCCCAGCCGCCTGGCTCCCCAACTTCCTCAAGGGAGGCTCTCCTCTTCCCTGATCTGAGGCTGCCTGACCCACCCTGAGGCCGCACCCCCACCATGAGCTCAGGAGCCAACACTGCAGGGGAGACAAGATTTCAGAGGTTCCCATGCCCCCCCCCCTAGGTGACCATGCCCCTCCTCTTCTCTGAGAGTCTGGGCTTAGCCATCTCTGTTACCTGGCTCTGGTTTGGTCCCTAACGGGGACCTCTGAGATCCGGCCCTGCTGGCCTACACCCTCCCCCAACCCCAGCCCAGGCTCTGCTGTCCCCACCACCAACTCATGAGCTGACTTTATGATCCCCAAATTATAGATGAGGAAACTAGGCTCAGAGAAGTGAGGCAGTGGGGGAAGTGGGTCTCAAACCCAGGTCTGTGTGACTGCCCCGTCCGAGCTCTACACACGGCCTGCTCTGTCTCAGCACTCCAGGGCAGGAGTGACCTGGGCAGGCCTCACCTGTGGGCAGGGAAGGTGTAGAACGACTGCCATGGGGCTGGTAGGGCCAGGCAGATGGCCAGCTTGGTGTCAAAGGGCAGGAGCCAGGCAGGGGTGAAAAGAGGCCGCAGCAATTGTGAGGACAGGGTGGGACCAGAGACCCCCAAGCCCAGCATTCCAAGACCTCCTCCACCTGCCCAGCCTCACCCCCAATCCACTCACAACCCTGGACTCTGCAGGGCTTCCTGGACACTCCATGCTATTTCCTGCCCCCACCACTTGGCACATGCTGTCGTTCTGTTCTTCCCAAGATGCCCTTTGTATTTTGGTCACTTGGCAAACTCCTATTCATCCATCAAAACCCAGAATAGAGGCTTGCTCCCTGACTATTCCCAATCCCTGTGCTGTAAATCATCTCTTCTTTACTGCTTCTGAGCTATATAATTAAATTGTGACTTGCTTATGGTCTCCTCATCTACACAGCTGGATTAGAATGTGGAAAGGTCAGTGCATCAGCTGACCAGGACTTGAACCACTAATGCACACTGAAGCAGAGTCATTCCCATCCCGGATTCCCCTGGCTCAAAGCCCAGGCCCCTACTTCCCCAGTAGAGACAGTGACATGGTGCAGGAGGGAGAGGAGAGCGCCTGCTCCTGGTGACTGTAGCTTTGGTGGATTGGTTGTTGAGTCCACACCAGACACCCAGGGGACTCCAGTTAGGGGAAGAAGGCTGCAAGTGACTGCAGGTCCCTCAGGTGCAGGAGGGACTCAGAGCTGCTGAGATCCACGTTCACCTGTCACACACCTGTATTTCCATCCACAGACTGGTGAGACCAAGGACCTTCAGAGACCTCGGACACCCAGCCTGGGCTGC